TAAGGCGGCTCACGGTAGCACTTAATTTTCAAGAATGGCGCCCGATGGAAATCATAAAAAAATGGCAATATCCACATCTAATTAAACATTTGTGAAGTGATTTGTAAAATGTTTGCATATATTTTTTTAGACACAAGCCGAATCAATTAAGATCAAATTAAAACAACAATTTGTCGGTTTTTAAGGGGCGTGGCACCATATTTCAAAGATGGCCACCATGAAATATCATAACAGCATACATTCACTCCTAATTGACATTTTTGAGTGATTTATATACTTGACCATGGTTTTTTTAGACCACAATGAATCACATTAAGATGCAACTTAAAAATTAAAAGTTTTTCCATTTGGAGGGCGTGGCAATATTATCTTTTAAAAAATCGGGCCGCCATCTGAATATCAAATTAACATTTTTGAATTGATTGGTAAGATGCGAAGACTATACGTTATTGCTCTTGTCATAAAAACTCCGTAATTGCTGCCATGTTGTTAGTGTGAGTCATCCGTCTTGTCCGTCGTCTGTCATGCTGCCCAGCCGTCAAGCATGACAAGGCTTGATGGCTAGCTATACACACTCACGCGCGCCACGCACGCACGCAAGCAAGGCAGGCACCGCACTTTCACGCCACGCACGCACATGCAGGCAGGCAGGAGACACACACGCACACGCACGCGTCGGCACACACACACAACACACACACACACACACCCACTCCAACGCACGCCATGCACGCACGCACGCACGCACGCACACACACACACACACACACACACACACACACCGCACACACACACACGCATTCTAACCGGTGTCATGTTACCATCATGCCATCATCTCTTTCTCCCCTCTTTGCTCTCTTCCCTCCCCCTCTCCCCTATCTCTCTCTCTCCTCTCTCTCTCTCTCTCTCTCTCTCTCTCTTCTCTCTCTCGCTCTCTCTCTCTCCCTCCCCCTTCCTCTCTCTCTCTCTCTCTCTCTCCTCTCTCTCTCTCTCTCTCTCTCTCTCTCTCTCTCTCTCCCTCCCCCTTCACCTATCTCACTCGGCTCTCGTCTCTGCTCTCTCTCTCTCTCGTCTCTCTCTGCTCTGATCTCTCTCTCTCTCTCTCTCGTCCCCCTTGTGTCTTCTTGCTCATTATATCTCCCTCCTCTCTCTCGCTCACTGGAAAGAGGCAAGCGAGAGAGAAGGATGGTGATCACGAGGCGTCTGTGAAAGGGAGGAGTCGGGGGATGAAGCAGAGACACAGAGACAGGGGAAGAGGAGGAACGTACTAATGACATCGGGGAATGTAGGCGGAGGAGGAGGGAGAGAGCGAGGAGAGGAGGGAGGAGGCGGAATGCGGGCGGAGGCGTGAGGAGTTCTGGGAGTGAGGAGTCGATATAGTGGGTTGCTTACCTCCGCCCACGGAGTTAACGGAGTAACGGAGTGGAGGGGACGGTAATGTAATCGGTCTCGTCTGCGTTCGTGCGTTAGCTGCGCCGTTCGTGGTCCTGTGTGTGCGTCGGCGGTGTGTGTTGCGCTTGTGTGTGTCCTGCGTGTTGGTGCTGTGTGTGTGGTGTGTTCGCGCGATTCGATTCAGCAGTAGCTTCGCCATAATATAGGTTAGGGGCACACGAGACGTTATATATTTTTTCGCCCTAGGCCGATCGCGGCCGCGAATTTTAAAATCGCCGGTGTGCCGTTCACGTCGACGCCGATTTCGTACGTCCCGTGACGGAATTCGCCCGTCATCAAAAATGTTAGATATTTTCGGCCGATTATTTACGCGGCTCGGCGATTATGGCGATTATTTACGCCGCGCGAATTTATTTACGCTGGCAAAATTCGGCTCGTGTGCCCGTTTATGTGTCCGGCCGTATTTTGTCCGGAGCGATCGATTTTTTTAAAAACCATCGGACGCGTGATTGTGATATCAGGTGTGTCGCTCGCTGTATGATGCGTGTAATGTGAGTGATGCATTCCGTTCGTAGTGAGCGTACGCGTCGCTCTCAAATTCGATACGTGTGCCCCTTCGTGATCCGGGTTAAATTCGCTGGCCGATTCTTAATCTCGTCGGGTCGGTGCGCGAAAAAAAAAAAAAATACGCTCGTGGGTGGCCCACTTTAATATATGTGGTATGACTATATACATATATATATTACATACTATACACATACATGTTACTTCTGGCGGGAGTTATGCACTCTCCGTGACAGTGCCCTCATGTCTCAGTTCGTGTTTAATATGGGCTGCTCTCATGCGCTGTAGATTGTCCATGCCTACAGAGCTGAGTTCTTACCCCATCTGGAATGTCGTATCCGTGTTAATTATGATAAAGCGAGAGAGGGAAGAGATGAAGGATGGGAGAGAAGAGAGAAAGACAGAGAGACAAAGAAGGAGAGAGAAGAAAGACAGACGAGACAAAGAGAGAGACGATGAGAGAAAAGACCGAGAGACAAGAAAGAGAGAGAGAGAGAGAGAGAGAGAGAGAGATGGAGAGAGAGAGAGATAGAAGAGAAGAGAGAGAGAGAGAGAGCAGAGATACCACACACATGTACACACGCACACGCGCACACACACACGCCACACGCACGAGTTCGGCACACACATACACACACACACGCGCGCACACACACGCACACCATACAACACGACGCGTGCGCGACATACACACGCACACACGCATCACACAGAGTAGAGGGAGAGACAGAGAGAGAGAGATGAGTGTAGCGAGAGAGCACAGACAGCAAAGAGATAGAAGATAGAGATAGAGAGAAGAGAGAGAGAGAGAGCAGGGCGGGGGGGAAAGACGAGCAAGACAGAGAGGCGGAGAGACAGACAGACAGAGAGAGATAGAGAGCGAGCGACAGAAAGGGAGAGAGGAGAGAGGAGATGAGAGAGAGAG